AGTGCTCAGTTGGTCGTAGTCATCTTATCAGAATAGATACTTTCCAGTATGAGTTCTCTGATGAAACATTAAAACTGACATACAACTCAAGGACTTCTCAGGTGCTTCACATTTGTAGGGTTTCTCTCACATATGAATTACATGATGTGCTCTATGATGAGATATATTTCTAAAGGACTTCTTACATACTTCCCATTTGTAGGGATTCTCTCCAATATGAATTCTCTTATGTCTTATAAGTTGAGTCACTGTAAAGAACTTGTCACATCCTTCATATCTGTAGGGTATCTCTCCAGTATGTATTCACTGATGTCCACTAAGACTTGACCACTGACCAAAGGACTTGCCACATTTTTCACATCTATAGGGTTTCTCTCCAGAAAGTATTTGCTGATGTACTCTAAGATATGACACATGACTAAAGGACTTGCCACAGTTTTCACATTTGTAGGGTTTTTCTCCAGCATGTATTTGCTGACGTTTTCTAAGACTTGACATTTTATTACAGGATTTTCCACATTCTTCATATCTGAAGGGTTTCTCTCCTGTATGCATTCAGTGATGTAATTGAAATGTTGATGTAAGAGTAAAGGCCTTGGTACAGTCTTCATATCTGTAGGGTTTTCTCAAGTACATATTCGTTGCTTTCTTCTAAGACTTGCCCATTCACTGAAGGACTTGCCACATTCTTCACATCTGTAGGGTTTCTCCCCAGTATGTATTCGCTGATGTCTTCTAAGATTTGACCATTTACTAAAGGATTTGCCACATTCTTCACATCTGTAGGGCTTCTCTCCAGTATGTATTCACTGATGTAATCTAAGATGTGAGATTTGACTAAAGGACTTGCTGCATTCTTCACATCTGTAGGGTTTTTGTCCATTATGTATTCAGTGATGTCTTATAAGACTTGACATTTGACTAAAGGACTTGCCACGTTCTTCATATCTGTAGGGCTTCTCTCCAGTATGTATTGGCTGATGTACCCTAAGATGTGACCTTTGACTAAAGGACTTGCCACATTCTTCACATCTGTACGGTTTCTCTCCAGTATGTATTCGCTGATGTAATCTAAGATGTGAGATTTGACGAAAGGACTTGCCGCATTCTTCACATCTGCAGGGCTTCTCTCCAGTATGTATTCGCTGATGTAATCCAAGGTATGACCTTTGACTAAAGGACTTGCCACATTCTTCACATCTGTACAGTTTCTCTCCAGTATGTATTTGTTTATGTCTTCTAAGATTTGAATATTTACTAAAGGACTTGCCACATTCTTCACATCTGAAGGGTTTCTCTCCAGTATGTATTCGCTGATGTAATCTAAGATGTGACCTTTGACTAAAGGACTTGCTGCATTCTTCACATCTGTAGGGTTTCTCTCCAGTATGTATTCGCTGATGTACTCTAAGATATGAGACATGACTAAAGGACTTGCTACATTCTTCACATCTGTAGAGTTTTTCTCCAGTATGTATTTGTTGATTTTTTCTAAGACTTGACATTTTATTAAATGATTTTCCACATTCTTCACATCTGAAGGGTTTCTCTATGGTATGCATTTGGTGATGTAATTGAAATTTTGACATATGAGTAAAGGCCTTGGTACATTCTTCACATTTGTAGGGTTTTTCTCCAGTTTTTATTCTCTGATGTCTTCTAGGATTTGACCATTCACTAAAGGACTTGCCACATTCTTCACATTTGTAGGGTTTCTCTCCAGTATGTATTCGCTGATGTGCTCTAAGACTTGACCATTTACTAAAGGATTTGCCACATTCTTCACATTTTTGGCATTTCTCTCCAGTATGACTCCCCTGATATAATTTGAAACGTGACATCAAAGTAAAGGACCTGTCACATTCCTCACATCTGTAGGGTTTCTCTACATTATACATGCTCTGATGTCTTCTAAGAGTTGAGCTCTCCAAGTAAAGGAAAAAAGAAGATAACATTTCAATATGGAGAATAAGGCTGAGACAATCTCACACAGATACATAAGGAACACATAACATGCATGAATACAATTTCCAACATTGAGAAACATTCAAATAAATAAAAATCTATGGAGTAAAGGAAGAAAGAGATGAAATTAAAACTAAAATGAGAAAATTCATTTGATAATAATAAACTAGAAAATATATGAAAAATACAGAAATACATGGATATACAGTCAAAAGAGATTGTTTAGAAAGTTGAAATAAGTATAAACAGAACTCTACATATAAGCCTAAGGGAACATAAGAAAAATATTTAGCAAAAAAAGAAAAAAGAAGAAGAGAAAAAATGAAAATCTATACTTAATCCTGTTAGGGAAAAATAACTCATTACAAAGGTAGGAAATCTGTAGTAATATCAGCTCTCTTCTCCAGAATATCCAGAGGAAAAACAGCATGAAATAATGTAAAAATACATATATCATACTGAAAGTGAGCATATTAACTAAAATAGACTTGCAAAAAAGGTATCTATTAAAATTGATGGAGGAAGAAGGTCATTTGAAGAAATATATTAACTCATGGCAGCCAGCCATCACTTCATAATTCATGGAAGCAAACACAATACACAGAGGAGAAACATACTCTCATTCATGGGAACAGAAGTGGGAAAAAAATTGAAAAGTGTAATTGAGGAACGCATTATGTCCCAGAAGGAATCCATCATTAGCAACACAGAAAACAATGTAAGGCCAATACTGATACTAATAAAGATTAATATTAATCAATGATTTTAAAATCCAGAACACCAGCAAAATCATACTGAATTAAAGAAAATGCACACACAATAACATTAAATGAAAACAGCCTCAAGTCACCACATAAAATATATAGTCAAGAAGTGTGGGTTTAAAGTGAGATTGAAGTAGCTCTTCTGTCCAAGAAACACACTTTACTGACAATGACACCCAGAAACCTAGAATTAATTATGGCAAACAAATGACCAGCTAAAAGAATATATATTTTCCCAAAATTTGTAGGAAAAAACACTCAAGATCTGAATTATTTCATAAATGAATAGGATTTCAATGATATCCACAGATTGTTACTTAGAGGAAGTAATAATGAAAAATTTTTCAGATTTCCATAGAAATTATTCTAGAAAAGATCACATTATGGGTTACAAGGCCAGCATAATCTAAAACAAATGATGTTAAAAACTGATTCAGGAGGCAGGGGCAGGCAGATCACTGAGTTCGAGGCCAATCTGGTCTCCATAGCGAATCCAGGTCAGCTGGAGCTACAGGGAGACCCTGTATCAAAACGATGAAAAAAATTGATTGAATTGCTTGTTTGTCCACTTACAGGAACAAACGTGACTGCTTGACTTTGAGTAAATCTTGGATCAAGCAGTTTGCCTTTTGGACTTAACCTTTAAAAGCTCCCATCCCCTCCCACCTAGTGGACCTTTCTCTAATTTGCCCAGAGACTGTAGTCACTGGTAAGGTGCCTTGTTAAGACACAATTACAGTGCCAATAACCTGGAAGGCTGGGGTAGGGTCCTCCAGAAGGCAGTATGTGCTTTGAATCAGCATCCTATGGTACTGTTTCTCCTAGAGCCAGGATTCATGGGTCCAGGAATCAAGGGATGTGAATGGGAATGATGTCACTCACTATCACCCCTAGTGACCCACTAGGAAAACTTTTCTTTCCTGTACCCAAGACTTTGTGCTCTGCTGGCTTAGAAGTTTTGATTCCAGAGAAGGGAGTGCTTCTGCTAGGAGACACAACAAACATTCCTTTGAACTGGAAGCTTTCCCCCTGGCCATTTGGGGCTTCTGATGCCCTTAGCTCAGCAGGCTGAGGAAGGAATAACAGTATTAGGAGGGGTGATTGACCCAGACTACCAGGGTGAAATTGGACTGGTTCTCCACAATAGAGGTAATGAAGATTATATTTGGAAGGCAGGGGATTACTTAAGGAGACTTTTAGTGTTACCATGTCCTGTGATTAAGGTCAATGGGAAACTGCAACAACCCAATCCAGGAAGGACAACAAATGGCCCAGACCCTTCAAGGATGAAAATATAGATCACTCCTCCAGAAAAAAAGCCAAGACATGCAGAGGTGCTTGCTGATGATCGAGGAAATAGAGAATGGGTAGTAGAGGAAGGCAGTTATAAATATCAACTTAGGCCATGTGACCAGTTGCAGAGACATGGATAGTAATTGACATGAGTGTTTTTGTCCTATTTGGTTAAGAATAGGCTTGTGCATATATACACATATGTTAAGCAGATACTTGTGTTGTTCTTTTTAGAATGTGTTAATTGAGGTAAGTGTTAAGTGGTTAAGTGTTGTGAACCTATATGATTATATTAGGTTATGAGATACTAAAGAGCTAAGCATTCCTCAAAGACCTTATCACCTACTCTAAGATACATAACACATTGGTCATTTTATGCTGGGATAATCATATCATGTTAGGTGAAATTATGACCTCAACATTGTTTTCATTTGAAAATTAAGCATAACATAGAGATGCTATTGGGTGTCAAGTTGACAAGGGGTGGACTTGTGATGGGTAATCCTGGGTACCAACTTGACTGGCTCTGGGATTAACTGAAATGAGAGAGACCTTCTTGAGTGGATCATCTGAAGCTGGAAGACACGCCCTAAATGTGGGTGTTTGCTTCTGATGGCAGCCCATATAAAAGGCCATGGCCCTTGCTTTTTGCAACTTGCCTCTGCTCTCACCGGTAAATTCATCTTGCTGGTGTAGACTGAAGACTAGCTGATCTTTTGGAATTCATCAGACCTTCAGCACTAGAGTGGGACTACTGAGACATCCAGTCTCATGGATTGAGCGACTACGGATTCTCAGCCTCTCCAGTGTGGTGCAGCCATTGTTGGACTACTCAGATTCTATCCTGTGAGCTAAACTGATAAATCTCTATACATATATATTCATTCTACCGGTTCTGTTTCTTTGGAGAACCCTGACTAATACACTCACTGATCCTTCACAAACCCAAACCTGTCAAGGTCAGCTCACACAGGTCCAGGCTGTCCCTCCAACGGCAGGTCTGTCCCTTTCCTTTCTCTGGACCTGTCCTGATAGG